TTTTTAAGATGAATAACCAATTTTCCTTGCATTGTTCGTGGAAAATCATTTGTCATGTATGTAAGAGGATTTTTCCTGGACTCTCTTCTATACCAGTGACCATATATCTGTCTTTATGCTAGCATAACACTGTTTAGATTACTGAAATTTTGTAGTAAATTTTAAAAATAGATAAGATTGTTTGGGATATCTAGTCTCTTGAGTTTCATATGAACATAAAGATGAATTTTTCTATTTTTTCAAAAAAATCAAGATTTTTTTCAATTTTTATATTATTGTAATACACAACAAATACATTCATTATGGGGAAATTGGTACATATCTATCTATATTTTTTTTGTCTTTTTCTTTGTTATTGGTACCAGGGATCAAACTCATGACCATACACTTGCAAGGCAGGCGCTTATGCCGCTGAGCTAAATCCCCAGCCCTGGTACATATCTATATTGCAAAGTCAAGGCTTTTGACTCAGGAGAGACACATTAAAAATCACTGAGGAGCCAAGGATATAGCTCACAGGCACACCACCTGTCTGGCAAGTGCAAGATCCTGAGTTTGATTCCCAGTACCCACACACAAACAAAGATTACTCAAAAATGATTACACTAAGCGTGGTAGTGTACACCAGCACACTCATAATACCAGAACTTGTTTGAGGCCAGCCTGGGTTCCACAGTGAGTTCAAGACCAGCCCTAATTACATAGTAAGGCCCTGGTGGAGGTGACTGAAGCTACTTTAAAATCCTGTTGACAACTGGGCAAATGAATATGCCTGTGATCTAGCACTCTGGGAGGCTGAGGCAGGAAAACTGCAAGTTCAAGCCCATTCTGGGCAATTTAACTGAGACTGTGTATCAAAATTTAAAAATGGAAAGAAAAAAAGAGTGGCAATGTGGCTCTGTGTTGCAGAAAAACCAATATCAAACTGAATGCAAGAGTCTTTGTATCAAGGAGTGAGAAGGCAACTTTTATTATGCTAGTGGGCTGGTGGGAATCAGTTCCATATTACCAGCCATGAGTCAGCTTAGGGTTCAATTTAAATACAGTTTGCAAGCAGGAAATACAAAGCTAATGGCAGGTTATTACATGATTGGTTACATGAATTAAGTTGTATGTTGTCAAGCAAGCTAGTTCTAAGTAGATTTCTGCGAAAGAGGGGAAAGGGTTTGAGTGAAGTAAGTAAAGTTAAATGTGTCCTTGACTGGGCCAGTTGGTCCCAAACATGAAGTCCCTGAAGCAAGTTGGAAACAATATATATTCTTCTGAGTAGGGAAGAACACAAGCATTGCAGCTGGACATGGTCAGCTGGACCTAGTGGATTATCACGGAGAAGCAGCTGGATGCACACAATCAAGGCTAACTGAATTTAGCTGGCTCTGGGACAGGCAGCATGAGTAGAGTCTCAGGCCACTAATTGATTTTTAACTCTCGCTATAGAATGTCTAAGTTTGCTATTCTATAACTTTGCCTTACATTTGAAGACCCTGGGTTCAATCAACAGTACTGAAAATAAGTAAACAGAACCCTGTAGTCCTCCTGGGTGTGATGATGCACACCTGTAATTCCAGCACTCAGGAGGCTGAGGGTTGCTGGGAGTCTGAGATCAGCCCAGGCTGCACAATGAATGGCCAGCATGAACTATATAGCAAGACCCTGTCTCCAAAATTAATCCAAAAATAGGCTGGAGACGTAGCTCAGCAGCATAGCACCTGTCTGGCAAGTATAAGGCCCTGAGTTCAATTCTTGGTACCAAAAAACAAAACAAAACCCCCAAATAAATAAGTAAATAAATAAATAAGGGCTGGGGATGTAGATAAGTGGTAAAGCATTTAGGGAAGAGAGGAGCTTAACAAGAACCATCACCTATTGTCTCTCCCACCCTGAATTATGGGGAGGAATTCCTGTAATAATGTGAGACATAAAACCAAGTCCTTCAGCTATTTGTGTCTAGGCCACATGGGCCATCCTTCTTGTCAAGTGTGGTTAAGCACAGGGACTGTGGCTCCTACTCAAGGTGCTAACCCCACCCTAAACAGGGCTGTAACCTAAATTTCAAGTCTGAGAGACAGATCCTTGACCTTGCTAGGAAAACACCTCAGTCTTCAAGACTGTGTTCTGTTGGGGCATTCTCTTCTCTGTGCTTGCTTTTGTGCTTATGCAACAATGAGCCAAAACAAATTATCATAAAATAATGAGAGAAATGACTTGTATTTGTACTCATTCCCCAATGTTGCATTTTCCCTTCAAAATCCATTCCTTGCCAGGCATGGTGGCACACATCAGTAATTCCAGCATTCAGAGAGCTGAGGCAGGAGGATTGAAAGTTTTGACTCAGACTGGCAATTTAGCAGCCAGGTGAGAGATCCTGTCTCAAAATTTTTAAAATATAAGAAGGGATGAAGGTGAGGCTCAACATAAAAACCTTGGATTCCATCCTCAGTATGGGGGGAAAAAAGTTCCTTTATAAATTGCTTTGCATGTGATTGAATTAAAACAAACCAGAACATTTTTTGAAGTCAAATGTAGCCTGAGGAGAAATTTCATTCTCCTCAGTATTGTCAACTTTTCGCTGTGTGATTTTTTTTTCTGGAGATTATATATTGCAAAAATATGGGCTAGAACCTAATAAAATCCTCATTTTGCTGAAACTAAAATGCTGAATAACTTTATCCTAAGGTGTGTAATTTGTATAGAGAAAATTAACAAATGCACCTTGAAAAAGTCACAATTCGTAGAAGACTGTTAACATGTTTGTGTCTTGTTGATATCCTCAGTTAATTTTGAATTTTAGAAAGTTTTCCTTTTTTTTTTTTTTTTTTGTACCAGGGATCCAATTCATCACCTTGTACTTGCTGGGCAGGTTTATGGGTTGTTATGTATTATAAATGCTCTATATGAGAAAAAATCATTTGGAGATGTGTGGGAGGAGATTAAAAAAGAAGGAAATGCTTTTTTCCTTTATTTTTTTGGGATTTTTACCGGTACCAGGGATCCAGCTCACGACCACAGACTTGCAAAGCAGGCGCTTATGCCACTGAGCTAAATCCCCAGCCCCCAGAAACGCTTTTTGATCACTTTTGGAGTAGGAAACAAATTCACTGTTATGAAATTTGAGAAGCGAAAATGCAAGATTTGAATAAATCACTTTTCAGTATACACCGAGAGAAAACCCTGGCTTATGTGTGTGAGAGGCCATTCACAGGAAACGTTCGTGGGAACATTTGTTTTGTTCCTAAGAACGTTTTGTTTCTAAGAACAAAAACCTGGAAATCTCAAACGCCATCCTCAGGAGACTCAATGGCTTGAAAAACAGGTGAGGGCACCTCAGTGAAATGGGAATTCAAAGGGAAGCTTAGTGATATTTTGAGTGAAAAAGCAAACGACAAGGGAAAACAAGTATCCTCAATAAAAGTTCAAAATTAAGCAAAACCAAACATGTTATAAATACATGTCTATGTAACTTCTTTTCTTTAAAACACAGAACTCTAAGCTGGCCTCATATAAGGGAGCATACCAGAAATTCCAGCACTCTGGGAAGCTGAGGCAGGAGGTTCACAAGTTGGAGTATAGGCTGGGCAACTCACTGACTTAGACCCGGTTTCCAAAATTTATAAAATAACAAAGGGCTGTGAATACAGCTCAATGCAAAAGCCCTGGGTTCAGTCCCTAGTACAGGGATTTGGGGAAAGAGGACACCAAAATCAAACCAAACCAGAATTCAGGAAGGCAGTCACCTGGACAATGTGTGGACCAGGTGGGTAGATGTCAGTGACAATGGCAGTCTATCCATCCTCTGGCATACTGTGGTTCATGATATTAAAGTGACATAAGTATGTGTGAATTTTAAAGGGCCACACTGAGGTCAATGATGTGTGTCATCAACCAGAGATTACAAACCATTCTGTGGACCCCATGTTGGCCTCTCCAAAACTGATTTTCTAATCAGTGCTAGCCCGACAGTAACTGAAGTGAGTGGGAGGGGTGTTAACTATTTTCACTTTTCTCTTCCTGTTTTCTCAGAGCCTGGGAAAGCAAGTCAGAATTTCCAAGCGTTTCCAATTCCCACATGATTTCCTAATTTAGAATGAAGTCAGAGAAACCAAGTCCTTCTCCATCTGGAGAAGCCTCGGCCGCTCACCGTGGAAGAGGAGGCCCTAGGTGAGGGTGCTGAAACCCTGGCTCCCACCCTCGGCGCTGCTGACAGGTACACCATGCAGCCTGGGATCCCGGACCGTTAAGCACTGCACTCGAAGTCTAAACTCGAGCGCCAATAAGGAGGACTTGAGGAGATGCGCAAGGGGTGAGATACCCCGGGGGCCTGGAACTTTGAGATCCAGGGCACAGAGGCAGAGATAAGCCCGCAGTTTACTCCAGGCACGTCCTGCACTCGTCATCGAGAGCCGCAGGGTGGCTGCTCCTTAAACTCGCGTTTCAGCGGGCAGGTGACAGCTCTCGCCATCCAGCCGGCCGCAGCTGAGGTGCGCTGGGGCCTATTGAAGTCCACCATCCACGCTCCCTCCTCTGGATGCGTCCAGACGGGGACAGACAGAGAATTAAAATGCGTCGCGGGGCACCAGAGGCACCCTGGCTCGGGAACCGCGTGGAGCTCACGTCGCCCGACTTCTGCGGGCGCAGTAGGCCAGGGCCTTTCCCCGTGCCGGGCGGGCGGCCGCAGCCCAGCAGCCCCGGCAGTGCTCCAGGCCCGCCCCAGGGTGACATCACCAAACTCCTCCGACCGGCGGCGGGAGGGGGCGGGGGACCCGAAATCCCCTAAAAACAGAGTGAGTAATCAGAGGGCCCGCCCTCCAGGCGGAGCCGGAGCTCAGGAGCCAGTCGAGCTCCCCATCGCGCTAGCCCCAAGAGCGATCTCCAGGCCAGCAGCCTCTGCGTCCAGGCTCGGCGTTCCCTTGCTCCGGGCCCCCGGGGGAAGCGACTCTGCCCGGCCGGCGACCTCTCCGTGCCCTGTGCGGCGCGCGTTTGCTCCGGATCCCCGCGCGCGGCAGCTCAGCGCGCAGGCGCGGCCGGATTCCGGGCAGTGACGCGGCCGCGGGCGGGCGCGCGCGTCGCATTTCCGCCTCTGGCGAATGGCTCCGCTGTAGCGCGCGCCGCGGGCACCGCTGCGACCCCGGCCCCGCCTCCGGGACCCCGGCCATGGACGGTGAGGGCGCCCTCTGACCCCGTACTGAGGCCGTGCCTACGTTTTTGGGGCCGCGGTGGGGGCCCCGCGCCGCTCTCCGCCCCCTTCCTGCGCCACCGGGTGCTGCGCAGGGAGCGGCCGGCCGGAGGGTGGCGCGGCGCGGCTCGGCGCTGCTCGGCGCGGGGCGGGGTGGGCAAAGCGGGGTCTGACTCAGTTTCCCCTTGGATGGAAGAGGGTCTGTGACTCAGCATCCTTCCTGGATAGAGGTGCGCAGTGAGCCGTGACTCAGTTTCTCCCAGGGTCTCTGGGGACAATACTGGCTGTTTCCGTGTAGGGGAGGATGCAGCTCACTGTTTTCCTCCGAGGAGGAGGGGTAGGGAGTGACCTCCCTCCGTGTCGCTATGAAGGTACAACAGGCCCTGACTCGGTTTCCCTTGGCAGGGGAAGAAGTCCATACTGTTTTCCCTTATATAACAGGTGCTGCTGTTCTTTACCCCTACTGCTTGGTTTCAGGGGAGGTTATAGGGAATAGTCCTGACTTAGTTTCCCTGGGAGGAAGCCTGGTTCCGTCAGGCCCTCCTGACTAGGGGGTTAGCTTGTGCTGATGCCTGTCTTCTCCCCTTTCAGACTTGTTTCCCCTCATCTTCCCCCCAGGTAAGTGGACCATCCTTCTTCAGTGGTAGGGGAGGGACTGCCTGGGTTTAGGAGCCTTGAGGCAGCAGCTAAGTGAGCTGCCATGGTCCCCGTAGAGCCAGTCCAGGCTTCTGGCCCCTATGTGGAGATCATCGAGCAGCCCAAGCAGCGGGGCATGAGGTTCCGCTACAAGTGCGAGGGCCGCTCCGCAGGCAGCATCCCAGGCGAAAGGAGCACAGATACCACCAAGACCCATCCCACTATCAAGGTCAGCAGCGACCCCCAGGGGTAGGGGAGGAAGTCACAGGTGTGGCAGAAGGGACTGTGTAGCCCTAGCAGACTTGGTTCCCGGTAGTTCCATATTGCTGGTCCTTTAGAGTACTCTGTACTTTGGATAGATCAATGGCTACACAGGACCAGGGACCGTTCGCATCTCCCTGGTCACCAAGGACCCCCCTCACCGGCCTCACCCTCATGAGCTCGTGGGGAAGGACTGCCGGGATGGCTTCTATGAGGCTGAGCTCTGTCCGGACCGCTGCATCCACAGGTGAGCTCCTCAAAGGCCAGGGGATGATGGGAGAGCTGGGGAAACTATTCCAGGGTTACTGTTTTCTGGACACTAAGCAGAATTTCTCATTCATTGCTCTGTCCCTAGCTTTACAAGGTGGCTTTTTTTTTTTTTTTAATCAGTACCAGGGATCGAACTCACGACTGCGTATTTGCAAGGCACGTGCTTAGATGCCGCTGAGCTAAATCCCCAGCCCTGACTTCTTTTATCTTGCAATTTTCTATTGATGTCTGCTCTGTGTAGCAGATGGGAGTCCATGGGGTAGAGATGGCTCTCTAATCACCTCAGAGCCCCTCACCCCTCTGGAAGGGAGAGATCCTCAGTGTCATGGCTCTTATGTGAGAAAGAAAACCATTAAACTGACAGACTGTCCTGGAGCTTGCTTATCCAACAACAGAGACAGGCCACAAATAATTTTGAAAGTAAACTACGGTTAGAGATTAATCATTTCAGTGGTGAGAATAAAACAGTGTGATAGGTTGGTAGGACCCAGGGCAGGCAGGAGAGTTGCTCTCATCTCTCTGGATTGGGAGGTCAGGCCATGCCACGCCTCTTTGAGCTGAGATTTGAATGGTGAGGAAACACAGAGCCCCACAGGAAGGCAATGCATGCAAGACAGACCCATGCACAGCCTTCAGGGGGGCAAGAGTACAAGATTTGGGGGATAGAAAAGAGGCCCCATGCCTGAGGGTGGGGAGCCACTAGCAGGGCTGGCATTGGCCAGGCTTCACCAAAGCACAGGGGGAGCCCCTGAAGGGCTGCGCAGAGCAGTGATGGGTGGTGGACTGACTGGCTGAGCAACAGGAGGGGCCAGGGTCCCTTGAGACAGCAAGCTGATGCCTGGGGGATGCTCAGCTTCCAGAACCTGGGGATTCAGTGTGTGAAGAAGCGAGACCTGGAACAGGCGATCAACCAGCGCATCCAGACCAACAACAATCCCTTCCAAGGTGAGGGGCGGGGGAAGACCTGGTCTGCCCAGGGTGCTCCCACGCTTTGTCCCCCTGGCTTGCGTCTCCTGCACTGGTCAAGACTCACAGGTACATGGAATCTTGTTGCCCATTTAGTGTCCACTTCCATTTTCTTCTCAGGGAAGTGGAGCCCTGAGAGGGCACGTGACATTCCAGGCCAGTGCAGAGTCAGTGATAGGTCTAGAACTTTGTCTCCCCCTTTACTCAAATTCGGCCCCCAGCCCAGAGCTCCCTACCTGTCCTCCTTCATCTCCTCTTGTGTCTGTCCCTGCCGACTTTCCTGACATCTCTTTTTCTGGCAGTTCCCATAGAAGAGCAGCGAGGGGACTACGACCTGAATGCTGTGCGGCTCTGCTTCCAGGTGACAGTGCGGGACCAGTCAGGCAGGCCCCTCCGCCTGCCACCTGTCCTCTCTCATCCCATCTTTGACAACCGTAAGTGACCAGGGAACTTTGAGAAGGGGAATGGAGTGAGCCTGGGTAAGAGGAAGGGGCGAGGGTGACCTGTGAGACGAGCTCTGGCTTCATTAGTCAAGTTTGTTCATCGGGGCTGGGGATTTAGCTCAGCGGCATAAGCGCCTGCCTTGCAAGCAGGCGGTTGTGAGTTTGATCCCTGGTACCGATTAAAAAAAAAGTTTAAAAAAAAAGTGTGTTCATCATCTTTTCCGTGTCTGGCTAAGCTGGCTGGGGAGAGGGCAGAGAAGACTCAGCTGCCCTCCAGGTTCAGCTTTCAGGCTGGCAGGGAGAATTGATTGCCAATGGGCATTTTCCATGTTGTGTTTGAGAGGGGGTGGTGCATTGGAAAGTGTGCTGGTGTCTCTAGGAAGTGAAGTCTCAGGAGAAGACAATGCTGGACAGTAATAACTCAATGGTATGATGGCAGTTTATAGGAGGCTCACAGATCAACTAGGCTGATGTTGATCAGTTGCAGTCTCTCTGTTTCGTTTTGTTTTTTTTAAAGGCAGTCTCTCTGTGCCGTTCAGGCCAGCCTTGAACTGACTATATAGCCCAGGATGGCCTCAAACTTGCCATATTCCTCCTGCCTCAGCCTCCTGAGTGCTAGGATTACAGGCGTGTGCCACCAGTATACAGCAGGACAAATAAAAGGGTTCTGGGCCCCCAAACCAGTATGAATTGGGAGTCAGGAGGTGTTGGTTGCCAAAGTGTGTGTGAACCTTACCTTGAAGACATACCAGGTCGGGAGGAGAAAGAGAAGCTGTGATCAGATCATTTCCCACTACACCTCTAGCCCTGTGAGAGCCGAGAGATGTAGATTGTGTGCTGTTTTACTCTCTTTTTGCCTCAACCCACCGGTCATAGCTATGGGAGGGGCTGGGCTGAGGGGCTGGTGAGAATTGTGGCCACAGAGGTGTGGGCAGCGAGCTCTGGGCAGCCTTGGTGCTCAACCCAGCTGGGCTGGCTGTCGGGGATGTTGTGTCTCCTGCAGGTCACCTTGGGGACCTCTGGTGGTTCAGAGCTTCCTTCCTTATTGTCACACCCTAGGCGCCCCCAACACAGCTGAGCTCAAGATCTGCAGAGTGAACCGGAACTCTGGGAGCTGCCTTGGTGGGGATGAGATCTTCCTGCTTTGCGACAAAGTGCAGAAAGGTACATGCCAGGGTCAGAGTGGACTTTCTGGATTGAGAGGTGAGGGCAGGGCAGAGCAGAGGTAGCAGTGCTGCCTCCTTGCTTTTTCACCCTCCCCCCAAGGTGACGTTCAGGAGATAAGCATCACCCACTGGGGGTGTTCTGGGTCTCGGTCATGCATACCTGTAATCCCAGCCTACTCTGTAGGTAGAAGCGGGAGGTTTGCAAGTTTGAACCCAGCCTGAGCAACTTGACAAGATGGTGTCTGAAAATAAAATATTATCTAAAGAAAGAAAATAGGCTTAGGGCATAGTGGTGCAGCACCTGTCCAGCATGCAGGAAGCCCTGGGTTTGGTCTGAAGTACCACAAAAGAAGCCGTGTAGTAGCATAGTACTGTGGCTGGGCTGACAGGCTGTGTGTGGCGGGGCGAGACACACTGACCCATGTTGTTGTCCGTCTCCTGCAGAGGACATCGAAGTGTATTTCACGGGCCCAGGCTGGGAGGCCAGGGGCTCATTCTCTCAAGCTGACGTGCACCGGCAAGTGGCCATTGTGTTCCGGACGCCTCCCTATGCTGACCCCAGCCTACAGGCCCCTGTGCGCGTCTCCATGCAGCTGCGGCGGCCCTCTGACCGGGAGCTCAGCGAACCCATGGAGTTCCAGTACCTTCCAGACACAGGTACGAAGCAGGAGGGTGACAGGCTCCCGCCATGAATATGGCCCAGGTTGGCTATCCAGCTGCAGCACCTGGGATTTATTCAGTACGGCCACTGCCGCAGGGATGGAGCTCAGATACAGTGGTGTTGCCTTGAGAGTCCACAGCCAGTTTAATTTGTATAAGTGCTTTTATACTCACACGGTGGTGAAACAACTGTCACTGTCATGAAGTGCTCAGTTGGAAGGAGGCGGGGAGGTGCTAGGAATTCAAGGCCAGTCTGAATTACAGAGTAAGAACCTGTCTCAAAAACAGGAAATGAATTCCGATGGTAGTCTCAGAATGACACACAGAACTGAGGAGCGTGCAAAGTCTGGGAGCACAGGTGTAGGAGCTGGAGATACACACACAGGAGGTGGCGTTTACCTTGGGCATAGACTAAGCGCATTCTCCAGGCGCTGGGCCAGCACCAGAAGGGAACAGGGCTGGTGGTGTGCACCTGCAGAGGGCCCTCTTGGCCCAGAGCTGGTGCAGGGCAGTGAGTGGGACTGGCAGAAGTGCCCTGGGAGGTGCCAGCCTCCTGCAGTGGAGAGCCACCCCAGGTGTCTGAGCAGAGAGCCACCTGGACGGTCTGGGAGCTCATGCTGGCTGCTGTGTGTAGAGGATCGGAGAGGGAGTGGCGCCACCCAGCAGACCGCCCCGTAGTCCTAGAAGAACAGTTTGAGGCATGAGCCTTGCAGAAGGGGAAAATCACGCCCCTGTCCCTGCTGTCTTCTGTTACCCTTCAGCCCCACAGCCATTTTGCTGTGATGTGCCAAACTGGGTCCCACCTTGGACCTGTGCCCTGGCCATTGCCCTGCCTAGAACATGCAGGCCCCTAGTGGTTGTGTGAGTGGCTCATGCCAGGCCTTCCCGAAGCTCCACACAGCCTCCCCGCTGTGCTGCCAAGCTGCTGCATCCTGGTTCACGCACACGAGCTTCCTTGAATCTCTTTCCCAGAACTTTGTAAGATCTTCTTTGTGCATATGCACAAAGAATATGGCTGTGTCCCTGTCTCTGTCAGTAAGATGTCACCCTTTTGGAAATGAGTCCTTTGCATGCTTGCTCAGTGCCATATCCCAGTGCTAAGAAGGAGGCTGGCACATAGTAGGTGCTCATAAATTTGTGTCCAGTTCAGTTAGTGACAGGTATGGCTGGGGATGTAACTCAGTGGCACAAGTGTCTGCCTGGCAAGCACAAGGTCCTGAGTTTGAGTCCTGGTACTGGGGGAAAAAAAATGGTGGGACAGTTAGTGACTGGTGGGAAGCAAGAGATACAGGTGTTAAGGGTGCTACCAGGGTTTCTAGTTTTGGTGACAGAGAGATGGTGGTTAAGGGGCATAAAGGATAAAAGACCAGGTTTTTGAGTAAAGATAATGAAGCTGGCTTTAGACTGAAGAAACTGAGGCAGGACAGCAGAGCTGTCTCAGAAAGCTGTGGGAGTCAAAACTGCTGGATGTTGCTCACACATTCCTTCTCACTGGTTGGGAGAGAGGATCTTGGGAAAGCCTGGCTCCTTGTCCTCCTCCTGAGGCGCCTCTGCAGAGGCAGCAAGCTCCAGTTTCCCTGTTCCTTCCCCAGATGATCGTCACCGGATTGAGGAGAAGCGCAAAAGGACATATGAGACCTTCAAGAGCATCATGAAGAAGAGTCCTTTCAATGGTGAGATGGGGACTAGGCAGAGCCCATGGACCAGGGCAGGGACACCCTGGGAGCTGAGGACTGATCCTGCCTTTCCTTGTAGGACCCACTGATCCCCGGCCTCCTCCTCGACGCATTGCTGTGCCTTCTCGCAGCTCAGCTGCTGTGTCCAAGCCAGGTAAAGATTTTCCTTCGCTCCACGGGGTGACACTTCCCAATCTGATTCAGGCTGGCAGTTGTGACACCTGGCAGGGAGAGGAGCGGAAGCAGGTGTCTTGATGCCTGCATTCTGTGGGGCTAGTGCTTTCCAGGACTGAGGCCTGCTGACCTCCATCAGCGTCATCTGGGGAGCATGCCCTGTGGCTTCTTGTGCCCCTTTATGACCTCTGAGTTGGTAGCTTTGGTGGGGTGGCACAGGCACCAGTGACTTCCCAGGGATGCTAATGTACATGGAAGTCTGTATAGAAGAATTTAAAACTTCTTTTGGATGCCTTGGGATATAGATGTTAAAATGGACATTCTCTGCTTCTGTCAATTAGGAGCAAAACAAAACCCACGCCCAAAGTAGTATGATGTATGTGCTGATGTGTGACTCAAAAGGGGGCAACAAGTGCCTACTCTAGGCCGCTGCTTGCTGGTTGCTCCATGGGCTCATCCTGTTCCATTGTTTTTTCATCTGTACAAGCAGAGGTGTTTAGGCTGCAGGAGTCTGAGAACTCCAGAGAGGAGAAGTGGCTAGAATTGGACTGGCAGACCAGGTTGGACTAGCACAGGGGGAGCTTAGATGTTGGCAGTGGCTTCTAGGGAGGGGTTGGGGTGGGAGCATGGGCTGAGTCTCCAGGGCTTGCTCTGACCCCTGCCTCTCTTTCTCTCCTCCAGCCCCCCAGACCTATACCTTTCCACCATCCCTCAGTACCATCAACTTCGAAGAGTTTCCCCCGATGGTCTTACCTTCCGGGCAGATCCCAAGCCAGGCTTCAGCCTTACCAGCCCCTGCCTCTGTCCTATCCCAGAACCTGGTCCCTGCCCCAGCCGTGGCACCAGCTCTGGCCCAGACCCCAACCCCTGTTCCAGTCTTACCCCCATGCCCTCCCCAGGCTGTGGCCCCATCTGCCCCAAAGACCACTCAGACCGGGGAGGGCACACTTTCAGAGGCCCTGCTGCACCTCCAGTTCGATGCCGATGAAGACCTGGGGGCCCTGCTTGGCAACAGTGCGGACCCTGCTGTGTTCACAGACCTGGCGTCCGTTGACAACTCGGAATTTCAGCAGCTGCTGAACCAAGGTGTATCCATGCCCCCCCCCACCACCGAGCCCATGCTGATGGAGTACCCTGAGGCCATAACTCGCCTGGTGACAGGGTCCCAGCGGCCCCCTGACCCAGCTCCCAGCTCCCTGGGGGCTTCAGGGCTCTCCAATGGCCTCTCGGTGGATGAAGACTTCTCTTCCATTGCGGACATGGACTTCTCAGCCCTTCTCAGTCAGATCAGCTCTTAAGTGGGCGACACCAGCCTTGCCCAGAGCATCAGGTTGCAAGGGATTGAATCTCTCTCAAAGCACTTATGGATTCTGAGTGGCACGCTCCAGCTGTCCCCAACTTCCTTGGGTGATGTTTTTCTGGGGAGCACATTTTACTCTTTCATTGGCAGTATCTATGTCTCTTTTTGGAGGTGCTTAAGCGAAGCATTAACTTCTCTGGAAGTGGGGAGCTGGGAGGACTCAGACTCTTCTATCCTGATGCTCAGCTCCCTTCTCTGTAGGGATCTCTGGGTGCCCTCATCCCCTTTCTCCAGCTTCTAGCACTCTAGAGAGAGGGACAGGCTGGAACCATGGCCTCTGAGGCCAAAGCCTTACTATCAAGTGTCTTCCTTCTGTCACAGGTTAACATATACCTTGATATAAATCATGACCCTATGGCCAACCCCTCCATGGTGCTGCCACCTGTCACAAGATCTCTGCCAGCTTGCTCTTTGCTCAGCTGTGGCTGAAGGGAAGGTGTGGAATCAAACTGGCCCTCTCCATTCACCTGAGGGAATTTGGCCTGAACTTCCCTGCTCCCCCTTTTCTCAAGTGCCTTAATAGTGGAGTGAGTAGGTGGGAGAGGGCAGGCTGGACGCTCTCCAATTAAGAGGCACAGTTTTCAAAAGAGCTTGACTCTTGCTCTTTCCACTCTGAACTAATAAATGTGTTACAATCTGGCCAGAGATTTGCCTTCTTTCAACAAACAACTGAGCATACTTTGCTCATCATGTCAGGCTGGATGTGTGTGTGATACTGAGTTGAATGAATATGCATGTGGCTGGGAACCTGTGGTCTGAAGAAGCTCCTAGGGCTACTAGATGGTAACTAGACCATCTAGAGGGTGTAAAGAGGCAGCTAAGGCGGAAGTGCCTGCACAGGAAGCCCAGCAGAGCCCACTACTTGTGGGGATGGAGCAATTTCAAGCATCTATATATTTTTTTGGTACCAGGGATCGAACTCACAACCGCGCACTTGCAGAGCAGGCGCTTATACTGCTGAGCTAAATCCCCAGCCCCAATTTCAAGCATCTTCATGGAGATACTTCCATTAGCTCCAGGTCTTAGATTAGCTGAGAATGGATTCCACAGAGGGCCTAGCCAGTGTTTGGGGACCTGCTGGGTAAGTCAGATGGATGTTGGGGTCAGGCTGTAAACAAGTTTGTGCTAAACAGTTTGGGTTTAATCTCTTGGTAACCAATGGAGAATTTTCCTCTGTTGGGGAAAGGGCAGTGTCTGGAAAAGGGCTCCGCCTGCCCCACCAATGGTTTGATACTCTGTTTTGGGAGAAGCGATGATTCTAACAATCGGTTTAGGAGGCCTAACAAAGGCCAGGCCACAGATCCTGAGCTAGAGAGAAGCTACTTCCGGTCTGGTGGCGCATGCGCAATAATGGTAACGTCCGGGTTCCTTGGATGCGCATGCGCACAGATAGCCAAACGCTGAAGGGGCCAGGTCCAGCGCTCGGCTAAACTTGCTGCCTGAGGTCCCCGACGTCTGTTTGGGGCTTTGTACCATCGCAGCGAGGTGATGCCAGGAGCACGCGGATCAACGTGGGACACGCTGCAAAAGTTAGCGAGTGCCTCACGTACAGACTCCAATGGACGGCGGCTGTGAGAGAAAATACTAGATGGACGCGGAAAGTTGATGACTCGGAGATGTCTGAGGTGTAGAATTTGAGCCGAGCAAGGAGACGCACGCCTGTGACCCGAGTACTCTGGGAGGTTGAGGCCGGATCGCAAATTCCAACCCAGCTTAGCAGTTTAGCACTTGAGGAGACTGTCTCAAAAAGAGTGCGGGGAAGTGAGACTGGGGGTGTAGCTCAGTGCAAAGGTCCTGGGTTCCATCCTCAATACCGACCACAAATCGCGTCTCAGAGTGAGGAGGCGGTGCCTGAAGCAAGGGTGAGCCATTCAGGGAGCAAGCTGAGGTGAACACCCGCGCTGGAGGCGGGGCCCGAGCTAGCGTTGGCCCGGGCCCGGGGTCAGGACCCGGGCGAACCCGTCGCGGAACGCGACGAGGCGGGGCTGGCAGGACCCGCGGCAGTGGGGCTGGCGCGGCAGGTGCAGAGGCTTCTGACCCTGCGAAGCCGCCTACGTGCTCCCGGCTGAGGTCCAGGGAAGCGAGTGAGTTGCGATGCACCCGTCTAGGCAGTGTCTGGCTCTTCTTGGCTGTCCCAGTGCCCTGCAGTGACCTCCGGAAGTCTCTCGAGGCCCTTCCCACACTCCCTAAGTGACCTCTACATGCTCACGGCTCATCAGTCTTTGGTTTTATTTTAGCCAGGGCCTCGACATGTAGTTCAGCCTGGCCTTAAACTCACTGTGTAGCTTAGACTGAACTCATATGCACAGCGATCTTTATGCCTCAGCCTCTTGAGTGCTGGAGCATGTGTCACGTCTCCCTGCAGGCTCGTGAGTCTTTGTCTGCCTTCAGACAAGCAGCCCATTGGCTTCTCAAACCCTGTTCCCAGGGCCCTCGACCATTCCCAACCCACCTCTCTTCTTCCTCCCTGTCTCGCCACCCTGCCCGCCCTCAAGGAGGAACTGATGGGCCTCACTTCTCCCGGTTGTCACCATTGTCATCACTGTGTGCAAACCACCACCGTCTCCTTCCAGGACTGCTGCCTCAGTTTCCTTTCTCCTGGCCTCACTGCAGCTGCAGGCCTGTGACACCAGCTGTCATGGGTCACTCTGTAAACATCTATCAATTACATGACCAGGCTCCAGTTTTCTGCAAATGCACCCCCAGAGTAACCAGGGGTTTCCCTACATAGTGTCCATGAGGGCTGTGACTAGGAAAAACTGGGTCACACTGCTGGGAATTGCTGATGCAGGATCCCTAGACCCCTTCACTACCCTTTCTGGCCCAGCCATAGCCTCCCTAGCCCTGGATTCCTGTATGTGCCTGACTCCACTTTAGTAAGCCCAGCAGGGTCCTGCCAGATAGTTCTCATATCTCTACCTGGTGAATCCCTTCCTCTTTAGCCTTCAAAACTCAGCCCTAAAGTTCTTTTCTCCATGAAGCCTTCCCCATTCCCCTTGCCACTCGGAGCCCAGCTCATCCTGCCAGAGTCACCCTAACAGACTCAAGATGTAGGTCTCAGCAGAGTAAGCGTCAAGCGGGGCTGGACAGGCATTGTGGTGCTGGGCAAGTCACTGTCCTCGCCAGGCCCCAGCTTAGGGAACAGGGTCCAACAGGGTCTAAATTAGAATGTGCTGATGCCACTCGGGATAAAGCCCAGCTTCTTGCAGAAGAGCGGGTCTCATGGGCTGGTGAGCAGAGAAGTGGGTTGAAGGCAAGAGTCTTCGAGACATAGGTCCAAGAAACTGCCACCCCTGGAACTGGGCCCTTGTAAGATGTGGCCAGGCAGCCAAAAGAGTGCCAGGCTTGGGGGCTCAGTAATGACAGAAAGGAGAGTAGGGCTGCTGGGAAACAGGCTTGCCCTGACCCCTGGGCTCCAGACTCAGCTGACTTCTTCCTGCCATCATCTGAGCCCCAAGATGTGATTTCAGGCCTGAGACCTGGGCAGAGCAGGTGTGGAATATACCCATCTGCTTCCCAACAGAACCAGACAAATGTTTGTGGGACAGAAGCCAAAGGACGGGCTAGCCTCAAAGACAAAAAGACTCCTCATGTCAGTCCAACCTGGTGCCAGTGTTCAAGGGCCCATAATTCAAACCTATCCAGGGAGCTTCGTGTGGCCTCTGAAAACACTCCACCACAGCATGTCTTGTACATATGTACAGACAAATACAATGGCTTCTCAGCTGGGTGTGGTGGCACATACCTGTAATTTCAGCACTTAGGAGGCTGAGGCAGGAGAATTCATGAGTTCAGGTTTCCAAAAAACCAACAACAAAAAATTTCTCCACAGAATATTTACAAACGGACAAGTGGGGGCACCTTTGCCACCAGATGGGTTGGGGAGTAGGAACAGTGCTAAGATGCGCCTTGGCATGGGGAAGATCCTGAGGAGGGTCCTGGGCCATGAGACCCAGGTACGCCCTAAAGGCCCAGGCAGTTCCAAGCAGGTCCATAGGCTGCTGAGGCTGGACCACATAGCCTTAGGCCAGGTCAGTGGCAGCTGAGCCCAGCTGCTTGGAGGCCAGGAGCAGGCGAGTGGCTGCACTCTCTGACTCGGCCAGCAGCCTCTGGTTGTTGTGCCGAAGACTCCGTACCTCCTCCTCCAGGGCTGCCTTGTCTGCTTTCTCCTGGGAAGGGAGGATGGCATCAGCAGCTGACCCTTTCCTCATGGGACTCCTCAAGGGCCCCAGGCCACCCCCTCACCTTCTTCAGGTCCTCCTGCAGCTTCCTGAGCATAGCCTCCAGGTGAGAGACCTTCTCAGACAGGCTCCCAGGTTCTGGCCTGAGGACATGGGGTAAGAACTCAGCAGGACCAGGGCAGGGGCAATACCACATGCTGACCCCTAAAGGTCCCTGAATGAAGGCCCCATCCCCCTGTTGTCTGAGACCAGTGTCTGTGGATGTTGGGCCAGGGTAATGCTTAACTCCAGTGGGTGAGGACCAAGGTTGGGTACACAGGCGTGGAGAGGGGCTATACAGGACAGGCAGCCTTACTCAGCATCGGACTTTGGAGTTCCCTTGGGGTCTCCGCTCTCTGGGATGGGCTGGCCTACAGGACAAAGGGACCATGAGGGCTGGCCTGAGAGGTAGCAGGAATCCCATCCTAACTCTAACTCCTTCTCCTGGGGTCCTGGTGGCCTCACCCTCCCGGGATAGTGACTCCAGAATGGTGTTGCAGGTGGAGGCAATCTCTGAGATGGACTGCCACTCATCCTCCAGCGTGTCGCTGCCAGCTTCTGACATGACTGTGGGCAGCAGAAGGCAAGCTCAGCAGGGGAGCCCCAGGAACCCCTCTAACCCCCCTGGCTCCACACTCACTCTTGCTGATGGAGTTCCGAAGAGACAAAGTCCGTGGCAGGAAGGAGGCCCTCAGTTCTGGGGCCAGGTTGCCCTTGTCTTTGTGGTCACTGGGGCTGCCTGGCCGTTCCTGGGAGGCAAAAATGAAATGTCAGTGCAGTGACACCCACTGTCACCTCTGTCCTGTTGCACTCTGCAGCCTTGTTTCTGCTCACCTGGGAAGAAGGTGTCTCCCTGCCAGCACCAGGTGCTGCTGGCTTGGCCGTGGCGGCCAGGAGGAGATCCGGGGTGGTATTGGGCAGGACAGGGGCCTCATCAGACAGGGAGCTGGGGACAGCAGGGCTGGCTCAGAACCGGAAGCTGCTTTCTCTGGACCTTCCCTGTCCAGGCCCCACTGAGCTGGCTGGGGAAGGAAGATCAGGAGGGTGCACCTGTGGGGTGATGGTAGTGAGTTCTGGCTGTGCAGGAATTCAGTCCTCTCCTCAGCCAAATCCCCGGGCCCTGGAGGGCTGGCTCCATCTTGCAGGCACAGGCGCAGCAGCTGCCTTGTGATGGGTTGCAGGACCACCTCCTGGGTCTCATCCTGCACTGGCTCTGGGGGCCCCCGCCGGCTGGGCTCCTGCAGAGACCGCCTGTACAGCTCTGAAAAGCTCCTGGGAGAAGGCAGGGAAAGTGTCAGCAGGGCTCCCCAACCTGTATCCTGTGTCACCAGCCCCACCCCCAGCTGCTGCCAGAAGAACAATGCCAGGATGACAGCTCTCCCGCACACCCTGACAGCAGGGAAGAACGTGGGTCCGAAAACCAGGTTTTCAGACCTGGGTTCAAATCCAAGTATTGTCCTATATATTCTGGACAAATGACTGAAAGCTGACCTCATAGCAGGCTAGAAGAGCTCAAGCAAGAGATGAAATTAAGTCACTTGGCATCCAGAATCTCCTTGGAACAAAACCCAGCCTTTGTCTTTTCTTTATTTGTTTTGAGCATTTGTGCCTGTTTTTGTAACTCTTGCGAGCCAAGAATGGTCTTTAGATGTTTAAATAGTTGAAAGAAATAGTCAACTGAGTATTTCATGACTAGTGACAATTATATACAGTCCATCCAGACAGCATAGTTCTATTTGCAATTTTTGGACCTTAGCATGGTTTTATCATTAGTAACCTGTTCATCAAGTAGGGGATAAATACATATATGGACTGAACTGAGGCCTTCATACTGAGCTGCATCTTCAGTCCTATTTTTTTTATTTTTGAATTTTATATTTTTTATTTTGAGGCAGGGTCTCACTATGCAGTTCATGCTGGCCTTGAACTCACAGAAATCCTCCTGCCTCAGTCTCCTGAGTTCTGGGAATACAAGTGTGGGCCACTATGCCCAGCTAATTTTTTATTTTGAGACATTGTCTCATTAAATTGATATATTACCCAGGCTGGCCTCAAACTTGTTCTCCTCCTGCCTCAGCCTTCTAGAATGCTAGGATTACAAGCCTGCATCACCACACCTGGCTGAGGAACATCTATATTAAATCCAAATATTCCAATGTTGCTGGGGATATAGCTGAGTGACACAAGCATCTAACTGGCAAACATAAGATCCTAAGTTCAATTGCTAGTACCAAAAAGAAAGAAAACCCAAATATTCCAGTGTCTATAAAATTTTAGTAAAATTCAACCACACTCAATTCATTTACCTACAGCAAGAGCTGAGTAGCTGTAGCAGAGATAAGATAGCCTAAAATAGCCACTGTCTGGCCTTTACAAAGTTTGCTTATATCTGGCTTAGCACAGTAACTAATCAATGGTATGTGTGTTAATATTTTAAAAGTGAGGGTTAGCAGGGCAAGGTGGCATATGCTTGTAATCCTAGCACTTCAGAAGCTGAGGCAGGAGGATTGCTGCAAGTTGGAGGTCAGCCTGTGCTACATAGTGAATTCAAGGCCAGCCTGGACTACATAGCAAGACCCTGTCTCAAAAATAAGTAAATAAAAAAGTGGAGGATTATGTTTGTCTTAATCAGTAAGAATATTCTTTTAAAAAAATCTTAACTTTATAGATCTACATATACATATGTTGTTTGTTTCAGCTTCTCACACTAGTGAGACAAATCGACGAGAACAACATTCTTATCCAGTTCCACTCTATGAATGCAGTGCAGTTCAGAGAGGTCACGACAGAATTGTGAAAAGAGAAAAGGCATCTACACATGCAAATCTTGGCAGTTTACTGAAGGAGACCTGTGAGGCACAGGGCCCTCCTACGCCCCAGCCCCAGTCCCCGGCGCCCTGACCTGCGGGGTCGGCCGCTCTCCTCGGGGGGCAGGACGGTAATGCAGACCTTGGGTGCCAAGCGCAGCAGCTGGGCAGCGGCCTCAGGGCCGAGGCTGGGCAGTGTCCGACCGCACACGCGCAGCAGGCGTGCCCCAGGCCGCAGCCCCGCCTTCTCGGCGAAAGTGAAGCGCTCCACGTCTGTGATGAAGCCCTCGGCGTCCACTTCAAAGCCCAGGCGGCCCTGACCATCTCTGGGCGGCGCCAGCTCGCGGGTCTCGCAGCCCCGACTCACCAACTACCGGGCAGCAAGGGGGCGGGGCGTGGGTGAGGCCGGCCCAGCGCCACCCTCTGGGCAGCTCTCCGACAGGTCCAGCGACTGACCCAAACCCCGCGGGGGGACAAGAGGTCATTTGCCCGAGGCCCTGTGCCAAGGCTGGCTCCGCGGCCCCCATCCCACCCGAAACGCGGCGCACTGTTGCGGAGGTGGTGGCTGCAGCGCGGGCTCCGCCTCCGGTACACCAAGAGACCGCGGATGCCTTCGTCCACCCGGGCTCACCTGCAGGCGTGTGACAACCTCGCCCACCGCTTGGCCAGGCGCCCCGTCGAACCGCAGTGTGATCGCCTCCCCGCGACCGTGGTACAAGTCGAGTTGCTGCTCCGAGAAGGTCCAAGCCAGCACGTCGCGACAAGCACAATTGAAGACTACGCGGCCATCGCGCGGCGCCACCAGTACCAGTGTCTCTGCAGAGATGCCCAGCAGACAGGGCACCTCGGCACCCTCGGGGCCTCCCGCTTCGGCTCCCGCTGCGACCCGAGTCCCCGGGGCCGCGCGCACGCCCCAGGTCAGCGCACCCGCCGCCTGCAGCTCACAGCCCGGGCCCCGAGGGGTCGCCCGGCGCCTGCCGCCCAGGGAGGGCAGGCCAAAGCGCGAGGCAGAGTCCAGCGACGTGGTGGTCACTTCGTTAGTGGCTAGGTCCTGTAAGTACTGCTGGCGTGTGCGCGTGGCCATGGCATGGAACTGGCGTGCGTGCCCGGCTGCCTGCTCGCCGTTGAGCGCCTTGGCCAGCAGGAAGGCGCGGAAGTCAGCATTGGCTGCGAAGGGGCCTCCTCCGGGGGGCAGGGCTGGCCCGAAGGCCGGAGTGTCCTGAGTGCGGCTCACGGCCACCCTGCGTGGAAGAAGGCTGCATGAGGGACGGCAGGGCAGGTCAAGGACTCGGTGCCCACAGGAGACCTAGGGCTACCCTGGCCCTCACCTGTATGAGGTGTGCGGGGTGCAGGGTGCGTGGGCCCGCACCACTATGAATATGTGCTGGAAGTGGGAGCGGATGGTGGTGGGGCAGAAGGGCTTGCTGCCGGGCTCCTGGAACACGATGGTCACAATGTCATTGCCGATGTGGCGCTTCCTCAGGAGCTGCGGATTAGATGGTAAGGAGTGTTAGAGGGGCCGCGTGATCTCCCCAAATCCTCATTTGGGCAAGGGAAAACCTTGGCACCAGTGGCTTCCCCACCTGCCCCTGTAAAGCCCTGAGATGTTTGTCTTTGAGAAGCTGCCACAGGCCTGTTGGGGTCAGCAGACTAAGGTTCAAAGATTGCCACCCTTGCAGCACCCTCCAGGGGTCCCCAGAAGGCCTTGGCCATTCCCCAGCCCTGTCCTAGACCCCGAATACCTGCTGCTGGTTATTTGGGGTATAAGGCAGCATCGTGGAGACGTGAAACATGATCTCGTGGTCCTGGTAGGTGGTGTAGAGGGAGTGTGTACCTGTGGAATCCGCTGTGGCCAGCAAGTTGGGGACACAGAGAGACAGCTAAGGGAATCTTGAATCACCTGTCCCTGTTCCCACTCGGCAGCATCTGTGGCCCCACCAGCAGGTAGATGACCCCTTCATATTACCAGCCAAGGCCTAGGCCACCAAGTCCAAGCCTCAGCCTCTGCTGCTTAGGAGTGGGGACGTGGTAAGAATGGGCTCAGAGGAAGGCAGGAAGTAGGTGTCCCAGGGAAGGATGGGTGTTGGCATGAGCATGTGGGGCACACTGACAAGTGGAAGGCAGCTAGGTACTCTGGGGCCTAACATCCAGGGAGGCAGGGACACCTGCCCAGAGGCCAGGCTTCTGGAATGTGTCAGATTTAGGGGCTGTGCCCCTAAACACCCTGGCCACAGCTCAGGCAGTAGAACACCAGGTTCTTGGGGGACAATCCCAGTCCCACCACCAGGGTGCCTACCCAAAGAGCTCTCTAGCATTCAGCCCCAGCCTTTGGCCAATATGGACAAAGAAGTGTCAAAGTGGTTCATTTGCCCCTCACACGGGACTGCCCCCAACCCTCCAGTGCCCTGCACCTCACTTTTGGTGTCCAGCTGGGCCCGATAGCTGTCAAAGCCCTTGAGCCGCACCACGTCACCCAGCAAGGTGAGAAACTGCGTGAAGGCCACTCCCGCCTCCTCGTTGTTGTACATCTCCTCCTCCGTGCCCTGGCCTGAGCGACAGTACAGGATGCCCACCTTGCGCTGGAAGCTCAGCTGCGGGAAGGTCACAGACACCTCAGGCTTAGTCTCCCCTAGCCCCACCTCCACCGAGTCATGGGGAAACAGTCAGGACACTGGCCAACAGGTGGGCTGCCTCTGTGTGTCTCCCCAGCCACCTCGGAGTCCTTGACGATCACATGGGTACAGTCTGCCCTGCTCCCAGTGCTCAGGGGCCACTAGAGGAGTCACCAGAGGGACGGAATGGGGGGAGGTTAGTTTTCCAGTGACAATAGATGAAGGGAGTTGTAGAAAGAACCCCACACAGTGCATATGGTCTCAATAAATGTCCACGTTGGCATCCTCAGCTGGCGGCCACACTGTTGGCCGGGGCCTTCAAATTCTAGGTAGTTCTCCCTCACCTCCTGAGGGCTTGAGCCATCTCAGCCCCGCCCCGCTCCCTGTCTCTGCACACTGCTCTGGCCCCTTCTCCTCTGCACTGATCCCATTAAAGCTCTGATCCCATGGTCCCCCCACCTCCCATGTTCAGAAGCTTGGCAATGGGGCACTTGGCGGGCATGTGTGAGACCCTGAGTTCCAGCACCTGCACCACAAAATAAATAAATTTATGACAGGGGTAATGGTGCATGCCTGTCATTCCAGTACTCTGGGAAATTGAGGCAGGAAGATCAAAAGTTTGGGTCCCGCTAGACTAGAAAAAAAAAAAAAAAAAAAAAAAAGCCAGGGCTGTAACTCCGCACAAAGGCCCAGGGTTCACACCTCTGTACCACAGAAAATAACAACAACCTGACCACACAGGACAGCCCATGGCTGCTGCCTTCCTGGTCACAGTTTTTGGCACTGGGGCCAACTGGAACCTGACCTTGCCTGGATGGCTTCTCCCCCAAGTTTGTGCCCTCCATGGCTGCAGCAGCCACTTCTAGGGGACAACATTCTTGTCTCTGCCTGCAGCCCAGACCCTCCTCCCAGACTCCAGGCCCATTTCCCCAACCGCCTTGATGCCCTTCCAGCTCTGAAGCGTCTCACTGCCTTGCTGGGCTTCCCTGTCCCCCTGCCTCCTCCTAAGGTCCTTGGCCCCATAAAAACACACTGCCCTGGGCCATGAAGCCAGGGACACCAGCCGGGGATATAGTTCAGTGGCACAGTGCCTGCCCGGCAAGAGCAAGGTCCTGAGTTCCAGTACCAAGAAAAAAGAAGCCAAGGTCTCCGGAGTTCAGTCATTCCAAAGGGATATTCACTCTAGCCCTGGACTGTCACCTCTCTGTCACTACCATGTCTATCCGAGACAACAGCAACAGCCTTCAGTCTGGTCTCTGCCCCTCCAGCCTGGTCCATGCACTGTAGTCAGATGTGCTCAATCTTTCCGGGGCTCCCCAGGGCCCACAGGACCAAAAGCAGGCCTCTCCCCATCCCCTCCACTCCCTGAGGTACACGTGACATGCATCGTCTCCAGACTATCACACCAGCTGCTGCTTCAGCCAGAAAGGCTTGCTCAACCCTGTCCGCCCAGAAAACATGTTCTCATCCTGGCTTACGGAGCGCTTGCATTTCCTCCATGGGGTGAAACCTTCACCCAGGAAGGGCTGTCAGCACCACCTCTGGGCCCTACAAAGCCTTCACATCCCCTTCCTCTGCTCTCCTGGTCCTGTTTCCTCAGCTCTCCATGGATTCCCGTCCCACACCCAGCTGTGAGACATTCCACAAAACTTCTTGGTCTGCATTTGTCCCCAGAATCCAGTTAGGGCACTGCCACCAGGAGGATACGAGACATGTTTGTTGAATGACTGATGGATTGAGTGCCACAGAAGAGAGTCAAAGGCAGCAGGTGACTTTGGGAAGGAGTGAGCACCCCACGTTGAGAGGAGATGAAGCAAACTGGCGAGGAATGAGGGAACTGCGGAAGAGCTGGAATCAGTCAGACCTGGGCTTCGGGGTTGTGAGCTATATGGCAAAACTTCAGGGCCTTTAAAACGCAGCTCTGATTCAGTGGGTGGGCTGGAGCCTCAGCACGTGCATTTCTAGCAAACCTTCAGATGCTGTGGCCTGCAGACCTTGCTTCTGATGCTTGGCCTGAAACACTCTCTGAGACCACTCCCCTGGCCAGTGTCAGGACAGGGCTGGGGGCCCAGGTGCTGCTGCCAGGTTGAGTCCACACCACTCTTCCCTCCTGCCCACTTACCACTTGTTCATCCAGCGTAAGCAGCGTGCGTGGCACCTTGGGGGATGCTGAGCCCAGACGCAGGCATGACGGGCTCAGCCTGGGAGCCACATGTTCCAGGAGCTTCCTTGGCGACAGGCCACGGGTGGGTCCTGTGGGCAATGCGTCCTCTGAGATGGTGCCACGGAGGGTCCGGAGCTGAGGGAGAGGTGGAGCGGCACTTGGGATCCGTATGGTGTTCAGAGGAGGGAACCCCAGCCTCATCCTCAAGCCCTTGGCCCACCTGCGTGGTCCGTACGATGACACGGTAGCTGTGCAAGGTGCCCCCTCCGCTGCCCTCCTTCTCCTCCCTCTGCAGGCTCACTGCCACTGGGCCCAGTTCCTCATCTACCCCGAAGAAGTTCTGGTGTTCTGGGGAAGGCAGAGAGCTGGCTGTCAGCCTCAGTAGAGACCCCAGCTAAGTCCCATCCCTGCCGCCCCAGCCCAAGCACTTGCCCCAGGCCCAGGAGGCCAAGGAGGGAAGCTGCTGTCAAGCTTCGATGTTACCCAACCCTGCCGCACTAAGCACTGGTCCCATTCCAAGGCCCCAGGCCCTCTTCACTGTGATGGTGAGAACAAGATTTCTGAACACAGGGCTTTTGGGCCTGAGTTTTCACCTCTAGACAGGAAATCTTCTGTCTATGAGGATAAGCCATGAAGGAGGCAAGATGCCCAGTCCTGGCTGGGGGGAGCAGCCTGGGCTTGACCTTTAAGAGGGGGGGAGAGAGGGGGCCGGCAGTGCCCTGGCTCAGCTTCTTCCTATAGCTGGGGACCTTACAGGAAAAGGACAGCTTGTGGACTCTACTGTGTGCCCCACACGTGACAGGGACCTCTTCCCTGACCCCTTTTTGCCTCTCACCTTTGCCGTAGAAGTACTTGCGGTAGTAGCCGGCACCCAGGTCTGCGTGCTCCAGGCTGTAGGCTGCAGTCCGGGTCTGCGGCTCTTCCAGGATGGACACAGCCGCATTGGGAAGTGCAGGGGGCACAGGTGGGGACATGGGTCCCCCCAAGCCTAGCTCACCCTCACCCCCAAGCTCACTCACAAAGCCAGGCGCCCCAAGCAGCAGATCTGAGCTGGCAGCCTGGTCCTCAGCTGAGGTTGGAGTTGCAGGGCTGGCTTCTGTGTGTCCCCGAGTCCCCCGTGGTGGAGCCCAATCGAAGAGCAAGCTCTGCACGTCATAGTGAGCAAACCAGCGGGGCTCCAGCACTGGTGGGAAAGTAGGCTCGGGCTCCTCCGCAGGTAGCCCCAACAAAGCCAGGGGGTCGGTGAAGAGTCGGGTGGGGGCTGCAGCAGGACGGCTGGCATCCTCGTGGCTGTGGGCTCGGGCTCGGGGACTGGCTGGGGTGGGGGGCCGCGCCTCCCCTGCATCACTGCCACTTCGAAGAAGTGGGCTCCGGGCTGGCCTTGGCTCAAAGGTGTGTGGTGTCAGCGGGGGTCGGGCTGGCTGGCGCAGTTTACGGGCGAAGAGGTCATCGGTGGGCGCAGGGGCCATGCCCCGCCGCGGGCTCCCCACACCACCAGCCCACATGGGCACGCTCTGTGGGCCTGGCTCTCTGGAGGCCGGGCCGCATTGGCAGACACAGGTGTTTGGTGAGCAGCCGGCAGGCTGAGGTTGTGGCAGTGGTTCCTGCCCTGAAGGAGGAGGGGGCTGCTCAGAGGGACCTGAGGAGAAAACAGGAACCCAGGCCCCCAGCCTGGTCCTCCGCCACCCCGGTTGGCTTCCGGCCTCCTCTGAGACCATCAAAGCTGCTTCCGCTTTCCTGGCCACTTCCTTGTCTGCCTAGGGCTGAGGTTTCCAGCCCCTTCCCCGGCTTGGTTTCAGCAGGGTTAGGGCCTGAAGGTCATAGAGCCTGAGAAGCCCTGGGCCTGCCAGGATCCTCCAGGTCCCATTCTGACACCTCGGGCAAGTTTTGGGCCCAGAATGAGGGTCTTCACCAAAGCCTGGTCCAATCTTGCAGACAATTCTTTCTGGCTGCAATGGGAAACCTCTGGGACCACTGTTGTCTGGGTCCTGCCCCATTGACAAAGGGAGGACGTCCTGTCCCCAGAGACCTTCCTCCCTGCACTTCCCACTTCCTTCTGGGTCCCAGAGGAGCTGAGCACCCAGAGGCCTGCTGGCAACGCCCTGGGCTCCTATAGCTCCAATGTCACAGGCACACAGAGGCTCTCGGGGAGGCTGAGGGCAGTAGGAATGGAAAGAAGACTTCCTTTAACACAGGAAATGGCCCCAACTTGGCCCAGCCACCAGCCTAGCCCCCACATCCTGAGGTAGATGCTGGGGTCACAGGAACTCAGTCATGGGACCCAAGTCACCTGAGGCCTGAGGACAGACCTTGACCCCCCACTTGCAGGTTGCTATGCCAGGTCTGGGGAAGAAAGGGGGTTACGCTGACTGAGTCCCTCTGTTGGAACTGAGACCCATGGGGACTTCTGTCTACCTGGTCTCACTGATTTAAACAGAGACTACTGAACCCCTCATGACAGAAGGTCAGAGTGAGGTCCTAAAAGGTGAAGCTTTGGGCTGAAGGGATTCCACGTTAGAATTCCATGCTCTGAACCTGGTTCCATCAATCTCCAGGGCCTTAACAGAGCTGTGCACCTGCTCACTCTTGTCCCTGGCCACCCAGGGTGCGGAGGTGTGAGGGTGGCAGGGGGATGGGCTGAGGTTCCCCAACTCACAGGATGTAAGTCTCAGACACCCAAAGCCCCGGGGACCTGCTGAGTGCAGAAATGTGGCAAGACCAAGGGCAGGTGTAAAAGGTGGTGTGAGAACATGAGGGAGAATTACCCCAGGTGCCCCTCCACAGAGGTGGCAGAAAGGGCAGAGGCCTGGGAACGGTCCCTGGGGTGCAGGCAGCCACTGGTGGGTCTTGGCACATAGTGTGGGAGGAGGGGCTCCACACAGCCCTCAGCTGCGCTTCAGGAACCAAACAAGGGCATGCCTCCAAAGCTCAGGGGCCTCCTGTGTTGGTTCCTCCTAGGACGAGGTCTGACGTTGACCTTGAGCCTCTGTTTTCTCATCGCTAAAAAGGGATCACTCTAGTCTCCTTCCAGGGGTGCTGGGAGACTGAAGCTGACCATCTACGTACTATGTACATGGCACACATGGGCTTTCGGTGCCATGTTGTGGGCTTGCTCATGGGAGGGGCTGGGCTGGGGTTTGGGGGTAAGAGGAGGCAGGACGGAGGGACCCTGATCCACGTGGGCCAAACTCTGTATATGCATGAATGTGTGCCACCCAGCACATGGGCTCTGGCTGAGTGCCTGGCTCTGCGGTGGGGAGGCGTTCTTAGGCTCTGCCCCCCATTCCACAGCTTCACACAGGGTCCATTGAGGCCGGGACATTCCTTGCAGCCTATGTCACTGAGGGGGAAGGGGTGGCCCCGCCTTCACAGATCCGGAAGGCCTGGCTGCCCCAAGAGGAGGTGCTGGATGCTTCCCAGCACATCTGGAGGTCACGACCCTATTTCTGCTGCCAGGGGGCGCGACAGATGTTTCCTCCCAGTCCAGGCCTGAGACTGGGGGACGGTGTGCAAAGGCTGGGGAGGAGGCTGCCAGCGAAGAGGAACCCGGAATAGGGGGAGCCTATGCACTGGGCAGCAGGGGTACTTGCCAGAGCTAATGCGAGAGACTGGGAGCCCCCCCCCCCCACCTCGAGTCCACTCACTGGCTCGCAGGCCGGGGAGGCCGTCATGCAGAGGGAGTGGCAGGCATCACTACCACTCCTGGAGACAGAGAACTGGTCACGCTGACTCCCGGCTGAGCAGCAGCCCGAGGAAGACGAGTGTGCAGCAAGGCGCCAAGAAGTTCGTGCCCCCACCCACCTAGCCACCGTCCACGGCCAGGCCCCTTGTACCCTGTCTGTCCCACCCTGTGCCTCCCGTCCTCCGAACCCGCTAATACCTCGGGGGCTCCTGCCCAGCCGCTGCTGCCTCTTGTGCCCTCCGGTCCAGGTCGGCTGCCTGCTCTCCAGCCACCACTCCGGCGTCAGAGCCTCCTGGGGAGGGGCCGGCAAGGGGGCGGAGCAAGGCAGGACTTGGGGCGGGGCCGGCCAGGAGCAGTGGCGGCAACGGCGGCAAGCGAGCAGGCGGGAATCCCGGGCGGGCTGGCGGAGGTCAGCCCCGCAGCAGCTGGAGGGTAGACCCAGCCTGGATTCGCTGTCCTAGCTTCAGCCGCTCTTCTGACTCAGCCCACATGCGCGCTGAGTAATGGGAACACGCATCTCTGCCTTCCAGACAAACCAGGGGCACTACCGGAGGCCACCTAGTGTCCGGCTCCTGCTGGCGCACACCAGGTGCTCAGCACCCAGGACTGTATCACTGAGCCCTCCTTAAGCAGTAGGCCCTGGGAAATTGCGCTACACTTTTTTTTTAAAACTAGGAATTAAACCCAGAGCCCTCACACTGACGTATAGACAGGGGTCTTGTTAAGTCGCTGAGTTGCCCAGACTGGGCTCCAACTTCAGATCCTTCTGCCTCAGAGTGCTGGGGTTAGAGGCTTGTGCCGCTGAAACCAGCAATGAGACCTAACATAGGGCGCAAACTTCATTCACTTCTAGAACACCCCACATAGGTGTCATTGCCTTTTTAAGGCTTGGAGCGACTGAAGTTCAGAGAAAGGCTGAGCCAGACCAAAGATGATAAATGCAGGGATCTCTAGGGCTGAAAATTCTGAACCAGTGTTGGCAAACCCATAGCCCTTGTGCCACTGTGGCTGTTTGTATCATGGTGAGTCCTAAAAGGTTCTGAACTGTACATGTAGGAGTGGGAAACAGTGCTCCAACCCCCACACCCAGTTCTGACAAGGGGACAGACTTATAGGGAAGGGGCCCGCCCTTGATCTGATCTCTGCCCCACATCCTTCAACCTCATCACCACCTCACGCTCACCCATGCTGCTTGGCCACCTCCACTACCCTGTCACTCCCAGACAAAAGAAGCAACTGCCAACCAAAATCAAAAATAGTGTTATTAATTCTGGTGTCTTTGAAGCACAAAAGAAAAAAAAAAAAAGGAAGATAAAGAAAAGAAACAACCCTCACCACATTTTGAGCCCCAGGTCCAGGCCTGGGGACCAGCTCTGCAGGCAGTGCAGACCCAGGGGCTGAGTCAGTCCTGGCCACAGGCTCAAAGTGGGACCAGCCCATGGGATGGCTCTTAGGGCCTGGTTGGGAGGCTACCTGCCTCACTTTGGGGCACCCAGGCCATGTATCAGGAGTGAGAGACAAGGGATCAAGATCAGAGATGTGGGCCATTCAGTTCCGGTACTATGGCTGAGGCAGCCAGAAGTCAGGGTTCGCATAAGGAAGCCAAAGCCACTCAGGTCCACGGTCCAACAGAGGGCGAGAGGCAACCAGAGGGGTCCAAGTTACTGATCCTAAGGTGGAATTCAGGGGGCACCAGGCTGCTCAGTACTGGTGCTCCAACAAGGGCTGGGCAGCTGGGCTTTCTCGTTCCTCCACAGGGACAGGCCAGTCACCAGGAGCCCCCGCTGGCGTGCCACTCTCGGCAGCACTGCTGTCCAAGCAAGGAATGTCTTGGACTGTTCTGGGGGGTGAGGCCTCAGAGCTGCCATCGGGGCTGAGGCTGAGGTCTAGAGGCGCCTGAGGAGGACAGAGAGGTTTGCAGGCAAGCAGCCCCGAGCCGCCTGGGGCCCGACTTTCCCATAGGTGCCTTACCTGAGATTTAGGGGTGCCTCCTTTGGGACTCCCTGAGGCTGGCTCTCCATCATATCCTCCCAGCCCCTTTCGACCCCCCAGACTCCACTTCCCACTTGGCCCCTCCGAACTCAGAAGACCGGGGCCTGGGGTCCGGGAGGGCCTAGGGCCCTCCGTGGGAGCAGGTGAAGCAGGGGGTGGTCCTGGGAGCCGAGGGGGAGGCCACTGCAGCAGAGGAGGCGGCCGCCCATCACCAGAGCTGCTCAAGGAAGGTCGTGGCCCCCAGCCAGGGCCTGGTGGGAGAGGCTGGTCGCCACTGCCTGTAAAAGACAGATAAGACAGCAGAGATCTCAGCTAGGCTGTTGTCCCCACTAAGTCTGCTCTGCCTTGCCCACTCACCTGCTGTGTTTTCAGGCGTGGGGTGTGCCAACGGGGGGTTATTGCTGAGGGAGCTCAGGCCACCAGCCCCACCGCAGTCCGAGTCATCCACATTCCCGCCACTATTGCAGCCAGCGCCACAGCCCTTATGAAGCCTGGGGTAAGAAGGTGGAGAAGGGGTGCAGGTGTGGAGACAAGGCTGAGGATGTAGGCCTAATGGTCACAAGTTCCCAGGACAAGTTACTCAGCACCTCCGAGATCCAGGGTCCTCATCCCTAAGACATTTTGCCATCAATTGTGCTTAAAGACTAAAGGCCACTGTCAGCTCCAAGGCAAAAGGGGATACCTCTAGGGGCAGTCAGCTCTGGGAGAGACTCATCTCTCAGGGTTTGAGGCCAGTTTCCTCTCTTGCACCCCGGGGCTCCCTCTGGGAGCTCAGGATACTTGATGGGGCGTCTCCTGGCTAGAGTGGGCTTACCTCTCCCAGCTGCGCAGAAGCCAGTGGGCGATGGCACCCAGACTGACGGGGCCACCCCACAGCGCCCGCAGCTGGGGGTGGCTGCCAGCCAGTGAGGTGGTGAGCGGCGACACGTAGATGGGGTAGCCCAGAGGCTGGTCGCAGGAGGAGTTGATCATGTTGCGGAGTGCCTGCTTGGCGTTCTGGATGCTGCCGCGCTCAGGGTTGCGGTTGCGGAGGAAAACGAGCTCCTGCTGCTGCCCCGCCCACAGGCCGCGCACGCACTCACGGTTCACCTGCAGGGGGCGGCACTGAGGTCAGGGGCCAGCGCCGCAGGGGAGAGGTGCGGGCTGGAAGGCAGGCGGGGTGGTGGGGGCCGCTCCCTTTCTCACCTTGATGACGCGGAAGCTAAGGTGGCGCCGGTTGAGCATGATGACCTTGTACTCGTCGGAGGCATCATCCATGACGTGCCGCAGCGCCAGCAGCGAAGGTGTGTTGCTGAGGATGGCGCTCCGCCAGGCGGGGTCGCCCTCATGAGAAATGACAAGCCGCTCCTCGTTGGCTGCGATGGCGTCATACAGGGCTGCTGGTTCCTCATACTCATCTGGGGATGTGAAGTGGTCCTGGTGGGGAGATGGAAGAAGACAGGAGGGTTAGAGGCGCCCGCCCCACCCCAGGAAAAGGCTTCATGCCCACCTATGCACAGAGCCGGGCACACCACTCCCCACCTGGTGAAGCTTGAGGGCCATTCGAACCCCAGGTGCCACTACGTGGTGCAGCAGGTCCATGTCGGCAAAGACCCACTCGTCACGTGGGGATGTAATGCGGAAGTCCCCCTTGAAAAGGGCGTGCAGGCCGTAGAGGAAGGGCTCCAGGCTGGGCGGGAGGCAGCACAAGGCAGGTGAGCAAGGAGCCAGGGGTCTCAGGTCTCGGGACCCTTCCCCATGCTGGGCTCAGTCTCCTCCTCATGCCAAGGGGTCCAAGTCCCTCAGAGGAGTAAGGAACAGAATTGGGAAAGGTTTGTGCATAGTCACAGCATCAGAAAAACTAGATGCAATTCCTGACACACAGAGCTCTCCATGGTAGGGGAGATGGTGGGCGAGTGGGGAGCACACCCCCAGCAGGATGTGGGCACTCACCTGGCAGACATGCTGTGTGAGGCTGTCCCCAGGGCCCGGCGGCCTAGCACACACAGGCCAAAACATAGTGTGACCAGCGGCGAGTTCCAATCCTGATCCACGGGCTGTGGCACAAGGACCCCCATCCCCAGAGCCCAGTTCAGACCTAGGACTGGGAACCTGGGGTGGGATCAAGGGCCAGGCCATGAAAGTCTCAGGATAAGGGGATGGGGTGAAGAAAATAAGCCCATGTCCCTGGAACCCTGGTAGGGCGGCCCCAAGGCAGTGGTGGCCCAACCTGGCTGCGCCGAGAGGCACAGTACTGGATCCACTCAAGGTGCACGGCACAGAAGGAAGGCAGCGAAAGGCCCGAGAGGCGAAGGTCATAATCCTCATCCACACTCAGGGAGAAGGTAGGGTCTGAGTCAGCATAGCCGGGGGCCCGCACAGAGCGCAGAGCAGCCGCGATGCCTTCGTGGTTCAGCCAGGCCTCCAGCTTGGGAGAGCGGCTCACATAGTAGATGATGCTCTGGGAGAGGAGGGGCTGGTGTTGGGTACAGGGGAGCCAGCCTGCCCTGGCCCTTGGCACTGGGGCAGAAGGCAGCAGTGTCCCAACCTAAGGAGACCTATGAGAGCCACCTCTTGCAACTCAGCTCAGCTCCCAAGGCCAAATGGGCAGGTGGACTTCCCTCTCCTAAGCCAGAGAGGAGGAGTGAGACCCGGCAGGAAGGGCCCCCCTTACAGAGGAGCCCTGGAGAGTCCTGAACCTGCAGCTGGCAGGTGCTTGCAGGTAGCATCTGCCTGCTTCCTCCTGATGGCCTGGGAATCCGCCCCAGTTGTATGGGAAACAGATGACAGCTCTGCTTGACATCACACAGCAGGGTGTTCTGAGGTGAAGTCTCAGTGGGATCCAGATCGCAGGACCTGGGCAGTCAGGCTGAGGCAGAGGGGCAGCCTCTTACAGGTCAGGGGCCCTACATTCCCCTTAGGCAGTCAAAAGTCACAGTCTGAACAAAGCCAGCGGCACAACACCTTGTGCCCAA